AGTCCCGGAGGCCCGGGCCTTCGGTGAGCTGTTGGGAGGCGGCCGGGCATCACCGCTCTGCAGGGAACAGGCTGAGGGACCACAGGAGCCTCGGGCAGAGAGCAGGCCTCCCTTCCCTCCCTCCCGCCGAGCCGGGCCTGGGGGCTCCTGTAGGCTGTTTGGTAAATGCCCATGTGCCGCTGCTGGTGAGGGAGCTAGCGGCCGCGGGGCTGGACCACAGCAGCAGGGAATGGGGGTGCAAGGGTGCCCCCAGTGTAAATCCTCATGAAGAGCCCCAGCAAGACCAGCGATTTGCATTTCAAGAGCGAATTGACCTTTTGTCTGCTCTTGTGCCGCGGTGGTGCGTGCCGTGCCGGTGCAGTTGCATGTGTAGGACAGACAGCCCGGGGTTCAGCGCAAGGAGATGGGACCCAGGGGACAGACGGACGCTCGGTTCTGGCTTGTGAGCTGGCCCTTCTCTTATGAAACCGCAGAGAAGGAGGTAGGGTGGGTTTCGTGGGTGATAGACTGGGCACTGTGCTTCCTCTCCTCTGACACACTCGCCCGTACAGGGCAGGGAAGGGGAGGAGCGAGGTGGGCAGTTGGCTAGGGGTCTGGGGTCACTGCTTCGAGCGAGCACCGGGGGATTGGAGGGGGTGGGAAGATCTACAAGGAGCCATAGCCACCCATTTGAAGCGCACTGCTGAGCTGGATCGGCATGTCCAAGTGCAGTTGTGCTGCCTGACAGAAGCCTTACCGGGGGACGCATGCTCCCTGTGAACATTACAGAGAAGTGTCACTTGACACGGTAAACTGCGTCTCTGTGACCTTTCACAGAGGCAGCACTTGTGCTTCTGAGGGGGGAATATAGGTTCCAGCAGGCCGGAGCTCCTTCCGACACCAACCAGGAAACCTGGATAAACACATAAAAGGCATGAGAGAGCCCTGGACAGTGAGGACCAGATGGGCTGGGATCCCACGGGGCCGGGGCCGCTCAGAGGTGACCGTCAGCCCCTCGTCCCCTCGGGAGCACGTGTCAGTTCGGGTGCCAGCAGAAGGGTGGGGCTTGGCCCTGGCAGAGGGATACTCCAGAACAGAGGGAAACAGCAGAGCTTCTAGGGGTGCACAAAGGCTGGAGGGACAGAAGTGGAGGCCTGAGGGGCGTCAAACCCATGGCTGGTTTTCACCACAGGGCATTTGTGAATTCCAAGGCTGTGCTGGTCTGAACATTTCTGGAAGGCAGAGTATTCACAGCGCTTAGAAAGAAAAGGCCTGCCTCAGGGTCTGAAGAGAGAACAGGAAAGGTGGGAAGGCCCGGGAGGGAGCAGGGAAGCAGCCCTGGGCACCTGCCCACCCTTTTCACCTGGCATGCTCGCTGGTTCTGGAAGCAGCTCAAGGCTGCAACTCCAGACATGGTTCCTGGTAAAAGCCTGCAGCCGAAGGGCAGAGAAACCAGCACACGATTTGGGGCTTGAGTGACAAACTTGGAGACTTGAGTGGCCCCAAACACATGGCCAGCCTCTCCCCATCCTTCAAGCTCGACCAAATCTGAAGATGCTTAAACTTCGGAAGGCCGCTGGACAAAGACGAACGCCTGTGGTGAACTGAGCCTCCGAATCACCCGTAGTCTTGCAGGGACGGGGGGTACAGCTCTGCCAGGCCCGCACTTGAAAGCGCTACAGGCCGGCCCCGGACGGGGAAGCCTTAGCAGAACGGAGACCAGCCAGGCCCGCTCAGTCCTGGATGAAGTAGGGAGTCCCTCTGGCCCCCCTTGTCTAGTGGAGGAAAGGGAAAACGTTCTCTGGTGGATGACAACATCCCATGCAGCAGAGCCCTAACAATTCTTTAGTATGTTTCCTGCTATACAGGGAAAAATTACCAGACATATGAAAGCAAGACCATATGCGTAGAATCGAGAGCAAAAACCAGATACAGAAGCAAAATCAAATATAATCCAGACATTAGAATTAGCCTCATGGTTTTAAAATAACTATGATTAATACATTCAAGGAATTAGAGGAAAAATGGGCAGAATAGATGAAAGGAAGGAGGGGGAACCCCAGGGACTCAGAATTTTTTCTGGAAGAATCAAATGGATATTCTAGAACTAAAAAATGCAAAGTGTGAAATTAACAATTCAGTGAATAGATTCAACAGTAGATTGCATGTATCCATAGCCAGGATCCGTGAACTGGAAGACAGATCAGTAAAAAAATACCCACATGAAAACAGAACCGAGCATCAGGCTGGAAAGCTGATAAGAATGGGAAGTGTGCTGGATGCACCGAAAAGGGCTGGCGACTGTGTCCCTGGAGCCCCTGGAGGAGAAGGGAGGAAATGCGGCAGAAGCGACGCTCAGAGAGGGCTTGGTTGCGAATTTTCCAAAACCTGAAGAATTTTCCAAAAGTGAGGAGTCCACAGATTTAAGAAGCCAAATGAAGCCCCAGGCCAGATAAATACAGATTAAGCTCTTGAAACCAATTAACCATTGCTCTGTAAGTAATGAAAACATTATATTCTTTTAACCAATTACTAGTTTTATGACCCTGCACAAGTCATTTGACATGGAACCTCAGGATCCCCATCTAGAAAAATAGGGACTAGATGAAAAACAGTATGAAAAAGTGCCTAAGGAAATATTAAGTTCTTAAGAAATACCGGGGGAATCACCTTTATTCCAGCTTGATGTGACCCTGGGACAGTCCGTCTGGGGCGGACTTTAGAGGTGTGTCCTCTACTCTGGGCAGCCTCTGTGCTGCGTCTCAAAGGGACTTAGGGGAGGGGGTGTGGAGGCTGACCTAGTGCATAGGTCTGCTGTGAAGGAGCACAAAGATTTAGAATCAACCAAGTTTCTGGACGGGTCTGGTCATTGCTTTGTCCTCCCAGGATCCTGGTGAGTGAGAGGTGACCAGCGTCGGCCTTCTGGGGTCATATGATCTGCTCTGGTGCAGCCCCCAGCCATATGCCTTCCCCACACCTGTCTTGATTCCACCCCGCCTGTCCTGCTGGGGCTGAGCCAGAACCCAGCCAGCCCCAAAGACCCCATAGCATCCCCTCGTGCTTGCCCCCAGATTCTGTCTGCATCGTCCACACCCTGCTCCGTTTCCTGAGAGGCCCCGGGCGAGCAGGCGGAGCTCTTTACCAGCTGTGTTGCATTCGGTTATCAGAGAAACATTTGACAAAGTGTCTGGACCCACATGGCCTTTTCTTATCAGAGGAGAGTTCCCACCCAGTAGGCAAAAGCAAAGCGACCGCCCCCCCCCAGGCAGGGGAGGAGAGGGTGCCACGTATGAAAGGAGAAGCACGTGGTGCACAAGTTCAGAATACAGGGCTTTGAGTCAGACAGCCTGGGCTTTATCTCTGGGCTCTGTTTGGTACCGGTCTTGTCTTTCAGGCTTGTGAGCTGAGACAAGTAAAAACTCAACGTGTGCTCAGTAAATTGTACTTGCTCTTGTTCATAGTAACTTCTATTATTTTACCAACTAAACTGAGCTTTATTCCTGAGCTAACGCTTCACGAGAGAGCTCAGTCGGCTCCTGCATAAACACACAGCACAGGTCCTTTCGTTGCTGGACCCCCGTAACCTGCTGCCTAGACATCTCTACAGGTGATGGTGCGGGTCCTGTCCAGGTCTGCCCTTAGGGAAAGGATTGACCCAAGTTCCTGCCAGGGAAGCAAGGCCGTGCCGTTCCAAAGTGTCTTCCCTTCCCTGTCTTATCAGGTAAAAGAGAAGTGTTCCGATTTGACTATTGAGAAAACACGTCGCCTTAGTAAGTGAAACTGCCGGTAGAGTCACTCTTTAGAACGCCTACTGAGGTTCTCCTGTCCCTGCTCAGGTCAAGAACTGCCTGACAAGGGAGCGGCCAGTGAATCATGCCGCCCCTGCCCCTTAGTGAACATCCACGAATCCCTTGCTTCCAAGGGCATTTTTCCTGAGCGTTGCTTAGAGTCGGGGCTTCCGGGGGTTCTGCCAGAGTGAGCCTCTTGTTGGTACTTTGTAACACTTCTCAGTTATTTGGTGGTTATCTATTTACAGGCCTCTGTCCTCTTCCTGACTACCTGCAACCAGAAGACCAGGAATCTTGACTCATTCATCTTTGTGTCTCTGGTTAGCAGGATGTTTGTTGAATGAATGAATGCACCACGTGCTGGACGGCATCCTTCTACTGCCCCCAACCCCACCCCAGATCCATCTTCTGCCCTTCTGCTCCCTGCTGACCTGCAGATCACATCACTGGGCCACCAGGGCCTCTGACTTTGGTTGGCTGGACCGTGGCAGGAAACCCCAGGGAGAGAGGCAGGGGCATTTGTCCCTCTGGCCGCCCCCCTGTCAGGAGACACGCGGCTGCTGGTGTGTCCCTTGGCAAAAGCCCCCTCTCATTGAAGCAGCCCGCTTCCCAGGACACTCTCCTTCACTGTCCAGCACCTTCATCCCCTCATCCTCATCAGGAGGGGCGACAGCCGGCAGCAGGTCCCACACCTGCGACTGTCTCACGTGCCGTGCTCTCCTGTGTAATTAGTCTTTCTGTAAATGAATGCTCCACAAATGAGCCCACTTGGAGCATACCTTTTGCTTCCTGTTGGGAAGTTTACGGAGATTTTTAAGTAATTTGAGCTGGGCACTGGGGCTCGGGCACTTACAGAGGCACACGGCACCACTCGTCAGAGATGGTGTGGCGTGACCAGCCGTAAGGACAGCTGGACCCATGACAGCTTTGAGGAAGTGCATGGCAGTTTTGGAAACTATTCTTAGGAGAGGCTTTCTCCCTCTGGGAACCGTAAGATCTTATTTTAGACTCACTGTCTGTTTTTAAGTCTCTGAAATTGCCCCTTATCATGGTTGAGTATCTGACTCAACACGGGCTGTGCCAGAAGGGGAAGGACTCAGGACCAAATATAGCAGAGTGGGGATGGGGTACAGGCTTTGGACACCAGCTTTACCAGCAGAAGACTTCGTAAGGGGCTCCTTTGACGTCTAATTCGGTGCTTAAACTTTCTGCCCTTTGGACTGTGTTCTGCAGGTGATCGTCAACAGCACTATCACACCCAACATGACCTTCACCAAGACATCCCAGAAGTTCGGGCAGTGGGCCGACAGCAGAGCCAACACCGTGTTTGGTTTGGGGTTCTCCTCGGAGCAGCAGCTGGCGAAGGTACAGTACAGTCAGGGCACTGTGGAAGCTGCCCCGCTGGGTGACTGCCTGCGGAGGGCTGAGCGGCACCCTTGGCGAGCAGGGGTCCTCTCGGGCCTTCAGTTTCACTGCTTCTGGCACTGCAGGGCTGCCAAACCACATGGCCGTTTAGGAACACGAGGTTCTTGAAGATGGAGACGTTGTCTGGGGAGAACAGCCATCTGACAGGAGCAGCCTTAGAGCCCACGCTTGCGGCAGGAAGCGGCTGGTCCGCTGGTCCCACGCTGGTGCCAGGTGTCCGCCCCACTCCCTGAGTCCAGCGCGCCCCTGACGGTCCACTGTCCGGCTCTGGGTGCAGCCGTAGGGGAGGAAGATGGCGATGCCCAGTGGCAGCTTCCCACCTGAGTCCCTGTACTCTTGCAAACATCAGTGTTTTGTGTGTGTGTTGCTTTTTCTCGGGAGGAGGATTCCTAGTGCTGATTCGATTCTCTGAGGGTTTAGGACACACTCCTTGGACAGCCAGAAAGGTGCTGAGAGCAGATCATGACCGACCCCAGGCTTGGAGGACCCAGGGTCTGCAGGAGCGAGCGGGTCGCCTCTGAGAGGCCCCCCCGAGCTGGCTGACGGGCCAGAGCCCCTTAGGAGAACAGGCTTCGGCTCCCTTCTAGGGCAGTGGGAGAGCCCCAGGTATGAAGAATGTATTGGTTGAGAGCAAGAATAGCTGGTTCACATGATCCAGGGACTTACTGGAAGAACGTCAGAGCATCTCAGGGGCCCAGGGAGCATTGAAAACCCAGGCCTCAGGAAGGGCCAGGCTGGCCTGTGGAAGCTGGGCTGCAGGAGCCGCTTCTCCCTAGGAGGTGGCCGTGAATGTCTGGGAGCCTGCCGGGAAGTATTGGCCGGGCTTCTGCTGTGCTAACGTGGCGCCAGATGCTGCCGATGCAGAGAAGTGGTCCTGCCCGCAGAGGGATTCACAGAACCCCAGATTCCTGGGGAACTGGCTTGGCTGCTTGCGTTGCCTATGCTTGATGAGGACGGCTTTCACAGGAGGGGGCTGAAGTGACTCAGGGCCACGCTGACAGGGCCACCGATTTGTACCTTTCATTGTCCAGCACACATGCATACCGTGCATGCACATGCTTACCACATATGTGCACACACAGCATGCACACGCTCACCCACATATGTGCACACTCAGCATGCACATGCTTACCCACGTATGTGCGCACACACGTTTCTGAGGAGGCCTGCAGCCTGCAGATCCAGCCATCCTGTGAGCCATCAATGAGCCCTAGTGGAGGACACCCCAGCCTGGCCTCTGCACCCACAAGTACTTCCATGAGGATGCCATTTCCTTAGAAGCCTGAAATGGCGTGGCCCTCGAGCATCCCTCCCATGCCCCCTGCTCATAGAAGTCCTCTCTCCTGGATGCTAAAGCTTCCAGTCCACCTGGGCCCAGAAATGTGGGGCAGAGGCAGAGTTCTTGAGGGCAGGTCATTAGGTGTAATTATGGGAGACGGCGTCTCTGGCCCGATCCCTCGTCCCGGACTCGGTGCTGAGACTCCCAGGAGAAGCCCCTCGCCCTGAGCTGGAAGATGTGGCGTTGCGGCAGGCAGCACGCAGGGTCCCTGCTGATAGGTGTGCAGAGGACCTGGATCCCAATGGGATGAGTCCCTTGCTCCATTTCCTTCGCAGAGGACTGAGTGGGTCAGTTTGCACGGGGCTGTGTGGCAGAGAAGGTGTCAGTGAGAGGTGGACCGGTAGAGGTACAGCTGCCTGCAGGCAGGGTCCGTTCCAGTGAGGAGAAATCACCATTTGCTCTGGAGGGAGGGGCTCAGTGTGACCAGCCTTCCACCAGGAAGCTGGCTGGTCACTTAGAGGTGTGATGCAGGGCTGGGGGCTCAGGCTGGGTCACTGTCACCGGCTTCGCTCAGCAGGGCCAGAAGCCAGGGTGGTCATGGAGAGGCCAGGCTGTCAAGGCCACGTGGCCCCTCTGTCTCTGGCACCAGGCCTTTTGAGCAAGTGCCAGGCTGCCTGCAGGCGGGTGACTGGTCCATAGATCAGCCTCCTTGGCCCTTGCGTTTAGGACTCTCTTTGCTACAACGGGTGGGGATTTTGGACAAACGCTGTTTTAGTCTGTTTAGGCTATTGGAACAAAATGCTGTGGCCTTGGGCGGCTTCCAGAGAACAGAGGTTGGTTTCTCACGATCAGGGCACCAGCACGGTCAGGTTCAGGGACAGACTCTTGTCCAGACTGCAGACTGCCAACTTCCCACTGTGCACTATGTCCTCACCTGGTAGAAAGAGAGCAGAGCGCTCGCTGGGGTCTCCTTTCTAAGGGCTCCACCCTCATGTCCTCATCACCCAAAGGCCCCCACTCATAGCCCTTACACAGGGGCTCCCTGTGCATCCTGCCTCCAGGCCCCTCTGCTTGCACACTGTGCATGGGGACGGCAGGGGCTGCACCACCCTCCGTGGTGCCCTGCGGGAGAAGCCGCGGACGGCTGGCTTTCACCCAGGCCCGGGGTGGAGGAGGCGACTGAGGCCAGCCCTTGGCAGGCTGTCACACCAGCGCCCTGTGACCGACCCGTCCAAACCCTGACACACGTGGCATCTGCTTTTGCCCCCTTTCAGTTATTTCATCTGTGATTCAAATTGGTGCCCTTGTGTTCGCTTCATTAATTGGGTGTAGTTGTGAAAACATTTCCCTCCCTTTTCCCTTTCTGGTTTAAGGGCCGGTTTATTGTGGGGGTTTTTTGGGGATTTTTTTTGTTTTGTTTTTGTTTTTAGTGGGGGGATATTAATCATTCTTTTGATATTTTAGTTAAAGTGTTTTTGGCTGCAAGTGACCTAGAACTACTAATCGTAGTGCTTAAATGAATGTTCTTTTCACACACGAGAGCAGTCAGGCAGGCAGGTGCCAGGACGGAGAGGGCAGCTCTGTGATGCCGGGTGTGAGGGCTCTGCATGTTTTGTTTGTTTCTTTTATGGGCCCTTCCCTCATGGTGACAAGATGGCCTCTCAAGCTCTGTCCATCACATCTGCATTCATGCAACAGGGAGGATGCTTCAGAAGGAGGGACTACAGCAGCTTCCCTTTAAACTCCCTTGAGAGACTACATCTTGGGTTCCATCGGTCAGTCTTGGGTGCCTAGGCCACCCTCCCACACCCATGCCCAGGAAATAAAAGTCAGGGAAGTGGGTTGCCACCATCAGCATAGACTAGTTCCCATTCTCTACCCACTAGGAAATTTCCTGCTCCAGGTAAATCTGAGATTCTGTTAAGCTAAAGGAAAAGAAGAAATAAATTTTGAATAAGCAGAGAGGTAGTGTCTGCCACAGAGCCTTCAATGCCAAAGCCAGAAAAAACCACAAATTAAATAAAACAAGTCTTTCATTTTCTGTCCTGATAATGATGAAGAAGATGATGGTGACTTTGATTTTGATTAAAATCACTACCACAAATTTAAAAACTGCAGAAAATGATCCCAGTAAGTGAAGAAATGAGGATTTGGCCTGTATTTCAGAAATCTCTGTGTTTTGAATACCTTTCGATCCTTGAGTTTCATTGATAGGAATCTAGGTCAAGGAAATAATTGTATGTGAGTATAAAGATTTATCTATGAGGATTTTTCCTTGGCTTTTAAAAATAAAATGATTATTTAAATGGTCTTAAATAAATTAAAATCATTTATAACAGAAAAGACAAAAATACCAGCCTAAATGTCCAGCAGTAGAAAATTATAGTTTAACCTTTAACAACACAGGTTTGAACCATACAGCTCCACTGATTTAGAAAATCTTTTGGAGATTGGTGACAATCTGAAAACACATTTTCTCTAGCCTACTTTATTGTAAGAATACAGTATATAATACAGGTGACAAAAATATGTGTTAATCGATTGTTTATATTATCCACCAGGCTTCCATTCAACAGTAGGCTATCAGTAGGTATGTTTTGGGGGAGCCACACGTGAATTTTCAACTGTGTGGGGTTTGGCGCCCCTAACCCCATGGTGTAAAGGGTCAGCTGTAGTTAAATAAACTCCGATATATCCTTCAGGACAGCGCCATGCAGTGAATTAGATGATGTAATAGAAGATCACACAATTGCATGGAAATATTAACGTCATCTTGTTCATTTCAAAAATAGCCATATAACGAGAACTTAATATTAAATAAGCCATAAGACAACATCCTCTTTTTAAAAAGAAATATGGATGATGGATACAAATATACAAATAGAAAAATAATGGAAGTTTATGTGGTTAGTGTTTGTCTCTGGGTGATGAGACTATAGATCTAAAAAAGTAATTATTTTCTAAACTCATCTAAGTTTACAAGCTGTTCTGTAATATGGGGGGGAATAGAAAAGTTCAGACTTGGGAATTTCTCGCCTGGTACCCCTCTCAGTGATGGGAGCACTCTTCTGGGTCGGAGGCTGTGAGGGGACCCGCTCCCTGTCACCCCTCCAGGTGCTCTGGAAGGTGTCCAGGTTGTCATTATCGCAGGTCATGGAGGACTAACACCCTCATCCCAGAGCCCTGTTTTCCTCCATATTCTCATTTATTTTTGTAGAATTACAGTTTCCCAGAGGTGATGTCACTAGGTCAGAGGTATGAACGTGTTTTCACTTACAGCACATATTTCCAGGTCACTTCTTGGTGGCGGTGCCAATTCACAGCGCTGGCCGGCTTGGGCATTAACACTATATGTAGTATCTACTAATTTAGTATCTCATTATTTTGATTTGCATTTCCAGCGAGGCTGAACAGTCTTTTCTATAAGTTGCTTACTTACTAGATTTGTTCTTTGTGAATTTTGCCATTTATTTATTGGGGTGCACATATTTTCCATTTCAATTTGTACACATGCTTTCTATACTACAGATAATGGCCCTTTTTCTGTTGTGCTAGCCTAACTATAGATAATTTCCCTTCTGTTGTTTCTCTTCTGATTTAGTTTTTTCCCTTTTACATTCAAAACATTTAAATTGCTATGTCTTGAAGTCTGTCACTTTTGCAATTTTCTTTTACTTGTTCCAAGTTTATAAAATTACCCTCTCACCCCTCAAGCAGACTGTTCAGTTCTGTGCGTTCACATTTTTTAAAAAAAGAAACATATCCCTTGAACTCATCAGTAATCATGCTGGTTTGTGGTAAGGATTTAAATCCTTTATTTATTTATCTCAGTAATCACATGTTGAATAATCTTCCCCATGGATTTATGACTCCTTTGTCATAAGCTAATTTTTAACATAAACAGAAGGGCCTATTTCCATCATGCATCTACTAATACTACACCTTTTTAAATGATTTTTTAATCTGATAGGGCGTATTCTACTTCATTATATTTTAAGCTTATTTTGGGAAATTTTCTTTATGATTCTCACCCATTTGAATGTAACACAAAATCTTCTATAGACTCAAGAGTTCCTTTGACAGAAAACAAGTCTTTCTTAAATATTTCGGTGTTACTAGCACAGAGAGACAACTAGTTCGTATTTTGAATGAATGAATGCAACCTTTAGGGGACCTCTTTTACTAAAGGGCATAGTCTTAAGGCTTTATCTGTCATTTTTCTCTAAGAAAGAAGTCAAATCAAGGCCAGGGAGGCTGTATTTCCCCCGTTGCAGCGCTGTCACACCTGCAGCAAGGCCACACCTCTTCCTCTGTTTAAATAAAACATCCTCTGTTTAAATAAAACACCTAAAATTTTATTTAAAGTTACGCACTGAAAGCAAAAGTGCAGGCGACCTCAGGGAAGAGAGGCGCCCTGAAAAGTTTAAGTTTTATTTAAAGAGAGAGAGGCGTTCTCTGAAAGGTTGAGAAAAAGTTTTATTTAAGGCTCCAATTCCTTCCCAGGGTAGCAGCTTCCTTTTGGGAACATATCAATCAAGACCGCCTGCCCTGCCCCCAAGGTGGGCTGAGTTATTGTCTGTTTGCTAAAGAGCATGTTTACAGCTGGGCTTGCTTGCTAAATTAATCATGACGCTCATCTCCTGCCCAGGTTGCAAATTACTTGATTAGGGGCTGGAGGAGGCAAAGACAGCCTGTAGGTTAAGTTAAGGAATAAGCTGGGCCTTTTAGCAGGCTGAGGTGAATCCTACAATGGCACGATCTAGTTGACGCAGTGAAGACGTAGGCTGCGCTCGCATACTTTTCTTTATCTGGGGAATATTTAGACGTTCCAAGTTACTCCCGGCCTTTGGAGCTTCAACTGATTAACTCCTTACTCTGTGAGTCTTTTCTGGCTCTCTAGTTTTATGTGGTTGACTCTCTGAGTCCCTTTTAATGGGCTTCACTGGCCTTACTGTCTCTCCACCCTCCTCATTTAACAGAGGATGAAGACAGAGAGTCCACTGGAACTGCGAGTCCGGGCCAAGGTTCTTCAAGAGTTGAACTAAGAGCCTTGCGGTCAGGGGACGTTCACAGGGAAGTGGGAGGGGTCAGTGGGAGGGAAGGCCCCAAGCTCTGTCCAGAGGTGACTTGTTCTGCCAAAGCCTGGCAGAACTCTCTTCATTGACTTGTTTGCCACTGTCTCCTGCTACTCAGCTGTTGGCCTCCTGGGCGGCAGGGGCAGGATCTGCTAGTTGCACAGTGTACACGCCCCAGCTCCCGGCTTTGTGCATGGCCGGGCTCAGGTACAGTGGCAATACTTGTTCACTGAAGGAGTGAGTTGTGTTTGGACTGTGTTTCTGGACTGAATGAGCATGATATTTCCAATCTAGTGTACAAGCAGCTTTGAAGAAGATCCATGAGAGAAAGGGACCTTGCCAGGGACAAGAGGGGTCTGTAAAAAGCATCACGTTTGGTTAGGAAGCCTGGCGAAGGACTGAGGTACTGTGGGGAGAGAGCCAGCTCCCAGCCTACTGAGCACAGCACAGCACGGCAGGATTCAGTTAGCAAGGGTGTCTGTTGAGAACCATGTGTGTGACAGTTTTCTTCGAACTGTATTTGACTTTTAATGGATACTGGGCACAAAAACATTTAAAGTAATGCCTTTTAAAAATTGCATCTTTAATTGTCTTCCCAAGATTGAAGCGCCCTCACAGTGTCTGCACAAAATCTCTTCTGGGATAGTGTTCCTGGTCCATGAGCTGCCTACCTAGTCCCAAGGTGGTGCGATCAGGCAAGCTTAAGAAGCAGAAAGATGGGGCAGACACCACAGTGCGCCCCGACCTGCACCCTTGCTTGTCTGGCAAAAGTCGAGCTGTGCCATTCTAAGGTTAGGCCTGAGCCTTTGACGTGATTCTTTTTCCCAAGGCGGCAGGGGTGTCAAGTCCGGAATCCAGAGCTCATTCATTCACTGAACAAACTCATTCATGCCAGCTTCCTGCCAGGCGTAGGGGGATGTACAGAGAGAAAAGGGAAGGACCCTGTGCCATCAAGGGCTTCATGACATGTAACGGGTCCCCCACAAGGAAGGGGACAGGGACTGCTTTGTCCCGCAGTGCTGGACTTCACATGTTGTAAGCAGCAGTAACATGCGTTTCCACTGACAGCTCTGGGTCAGTAAATATGAAGCCCCATGGCCTTATTTAGGGGCCTGCAGAAAGCAACACAGGCCAGAACAGAAAGGCTGACCCTTTCTGCTTCTACCGGGGTGCCTGGGTGGCTGGCATCCGTCACCTGGCAAGGGCTCTGAAGATCACTGTTGTGAGCATTTCAAAGATACTCGGGGTAGCTATGCTCAGGAATTAATGAGTTCTCAGCAGAAGCCACAGAACTGTCGGTAGCCCTGCAACTTGCTAGCTTTTTTTTGTTTGTCTCTCAGCAACCACATTTAGCTCTCTTGCATAGTAGCATTTTGCCAGCATTATCCATCACAGAATGTTCTCTGTCCAAACAGCACATTTGCTAATTAAAATCAGTTGCCTTGTCAGTGACTGGGAGCCAGTGATGGATTTGATAGCCCTGAGATTTAAAACATTTTCTTTTACTATGAAAATATCAAAACATTTTTTAAAAATAATAAACACCCACACTCACATCACCTGGATTTAACAGCTGTTAACATTTGCCACATTTCTTCATCTATTTTATGGTTGTTGACAGTCTTTAAAGTAAATTACAGACATCAGGACATTTCATGCCTAAATACTTCAGTATTTCTAAAAAGCAATGATGTTTTCCAATATAATCACATCATTAGCATTTCTAATAAAATTAATGGTAGCTCCAGTCTAAGCTCAGATTCCCCAGTCGTTCGCCAGAAGTCTTCCACAGATGGTCTGTACAAAGCAGAATTCAATCATAGGCTACATGTTGCATTTTGCTGTTTCATAGGCTTAGCTTTTAAAATCTACAACGGTTCCTCCTTCCCATCTTTTTGGATGTTGTTGTTTTCCATCACATCGGACTAAGAATTCTTAGCTCTTTTGATAGAGATTATGAAGTTTTTCGATTATGAAGTTTTTCATGGATCCCTTCTGCAGTACAGCTAAATTTCCTTTCTTGCCTGTGTATTAGTTACTGTTAACCAAAGGTTTTCCATACTTCTTTATTTTTAGAACTTTATTATCAAATTAGCTTCAGCAGCTTAGAAATTGATTCAGATCTGGGTTTGGCCAGTAGCGTCTCGAAGAAGCATTCCATATATTCATTGATTTTTAATCTGAAATAAAATTATTCTGCATTTATGCACAATTTATTGGCTTAAAATGAATGCAAAACAATAAAGGTGGGTTCTGAGTATCAGCCACGTAGATGTTAAGAGAAACCGTGCTGACGATGCTCTGTATTCAGTTTGCAGAGAAATTCCAGGAGGTGAAAGAAGCCGCCACGTCAGCCAGAGACAAGTCCCAGGAGAAAATCGAGACCTCAAGTAATCATTCCCAAGTGAGTGGTTGGTCCGTAAATCAATCTGAGTGTTATCTGTGATTGAGTCTCTCCGTTCCTTGTCCCTTTTGACAAGAAATGGGGAATTTTAGCAGTGGGGCATTTTGAAGGTCTTTTCAACTACTCGTCTGCCCACAGGGAGATGCGTGTGACATGCTTTGAGGACACTCTTGAATTTTTCAGGATGCAGTGATGGGTTTTTGATGGAAACCAGTTGATGAGATTAGAGTCAATGCATGTTCCTGGCCCCGGAGAGCCACGCTGTGGTCGCTGGGCTTAAATACAGTGGCGAGGCAGCCCGTTCACTTCTGTGCTGGGAGGCGAGGTCCGCCTGAAGGATTCTCACTGACAGAGGCCACGTATATGTTATAGACATCAGGACATTTCATGCCTAAATACTTCAGTATTTCTAAAAAGTAATGATGTTTTCCAACATAACCACATCATTAGAATGTTAAGAGAAACCGTGCTGACGATGCTCTGTATTCAGTTTGCAGAGAAATTCCAGGAGGTGAAAGAAGCCGCCACGTCAGCCAGAGACAAGTCCCAGGAGAAAATCGAGACCTCAAGTAATCATTCCCAAGTGAGTGGTTGGTCCGTAAATCAATCTGAGTGTTATCTGTGATTGAGTCTCTCCGTTCCTTGTCCCTTTTGACAAGAAATGGGGAATTTTAGCAGTGGGGCATTTTGAAGGTCTTTTCAACTACTCGTCTGCCCACAGGGAGATGCGTGTGACATGCTTTGAGGACACTCTTGAATTTTTCAGGATGCAGTGATGGGTTTTTGATGGAAACCAGTTGATGAGATTAGAGTCAATGCATGTTCCTGGCCCCGGAGAGCCACGCTGTGGTCGCTGGGCTTAAATACAGTGGCGAGGCAGCCCGTTCACTTCTGTGCTGGGAGGCGAGGTCCGCCTGAAGGATTCTCACTGACAGAGGCCACGTATATGTTATAGACATCAGGACATTTCATGCCTAAATACTTCAGTATTTCTAAAAAGTAATGATGTTTTCCAACATAACCACATCATTAGCACTTCTAATAAAATTAATGGTAGGTCCAGTCTAAGCTCAGATTCCCCAGTCATTCGCCAGAAGTCTTCCACAGACGGTCTGTGCTTGTGAGAGAGAAAACTCCACGCGTGCCCGAGAGCCCTTGTCCCCGTGTCCCCGCTTCAACAGGAGTCGCAGGGAGGTGATATTCCAGCAGTGATACTCCTGGCTTTGCCAGGAAGTGAGTAGTCTGTGTACTTAAAAGTGTGTTGATTGACCACAGGGACTTATTTTAACCTGAAATAATAAAAACCTGTGTTCCTGGTGTCTAGATTCGTGCATGTGGCAGTGGGCAGAAGGCTTGCCCTAATGATGAGGTTAAAGGTCGAGAGAGGGGAAGGGAGCAAAGGTTTGCAATCAGGAATAAAATAAGCGTGATGTACTAGCAGGACAGCCAGGAGTCTGCTTGGCTGGGAATGAGGTGCGCTTGGGAGGGGCGGATGCTCCGGGAGACACCACGAGAGACCCGAGCGCTTCCTTAGCAGATGGTTTATAAGTGGTTCGTTTTTTATTTCATTATTTATCGTTGGCTTGTCGGCAGACACTGTTGCCGACCTGGAATTGACGTGAGGGGTGCATGTGGGTGGTGAGGAAGTCAGGGAGCAATGGAGGGTGAGGAGCTGGGCCGGGAGGCCTTGGGGTGGAGGATGGCCAGGCCGGAGCAGCCACAGGGCAAAGGGGAGGGACGGGGCCAGGGATGGCATGTGGGAAGAGGACCCGGAGGCCTGGGCACCTTGAGTGGGCGAGATGGACACACTAGACTTGACCGTCTGCCTCAAAGTAGCAACAACCGAGGCCTTGGGTGGCCAAGAAGCAGTGAGCAGAGGAGGGTGAAAGCTGGAGCGTGGGAAAGGGAACCCCGTTATGTGAAGGGAGCCCCAAGGAAGGCACAGGGGGGAGTCCCACCACCTCTGGGCCTCTCCGGGGGCAGGAAGGGAGAGATGGCCCAGGGGCCCTGGGTCCGGGGCCCACGGTGGCCCTGAGGACGGGCGCTCTAGTGGCTTGGGCTGCTTCACGAAGGCAGAATGAATGTGGGTTTTTTTCTGGATTATAAACTCAATACATATTTATTGCAGAAATCAAAGATATGCCATCCTATAAAGAACTAAATAAGAATTATCTGCTTTCTTACCATTCAAATATTATATTTGTTAATATCTGATGTTCATATTAATATTTTGGTGTTTATCTTCCTAATTAGTTTTCCAGTATATTTTTATATTCCTTTTTAACAAATTTTTTCACTCTATATGTCATGATCATCCCCTGTGCCTTCAAATATCTCTTCTCAAAACTATTTTAACAGCTAGACAGTATTCCAGTGTTTATATCACAGTTTATTCTTTTTACTTCTAATTTGGGATGTCTATGTGGTTTCAAATTCCCCATTAATATAAGCAATACTGATGAATGTCCTGAAACATATTTGTGCATGTGATGATTTCCACGGGATAAATTCTTAAAGTGGGAGTCCTAGGTTAAAGCTTCTGACAGATGCTGCAGACGAGTCTGCAGAACTGTGCGGCTCTAACTCCCACCAGCAGTGAATGGGAGCAACTCTCCCCCCACACCCTCACCAACAAAGCTTTGTTTATTTGACAGAAGAAAAATGTGCCTTACTGGCTTTTTCCATCTTTTATTTCTTTACTGGTGAGATTAAATGTTTTCTATTTGTTGATTCTGTGCATTGCTTCTATAAATGTCAGTTGTACATTCTTTCCTTTTTTTAAAAAATGTATTAATCTTTTTGAGTTGATTTCCAAGAACTTTTTTTTTTTTTTTAACATGGACCTTTCTAAGCACACATAAAGCTAGGCAGGATTGTATAATGAGCCTCCCTGGACCTGGAGGTCAGCTTTAACAGTTAGGAATTTATGACCAATTGTTTCATCCAGGGCCCCCCCGTACATCCCCTTAAATTGTAAAGCAAATCCTAGACATCATTTCATCCATAAATATTTCAGTGTGCAACTCTAAAAGATGAGGACACTAAGTTTTCCAGTATAGAAACAGTAGTAACATTCTGTTTCCAGTATCTACAAATATTTAGTAGGAGATGTTTCCCCCAGGTTTCTGTTAGCTCTTTAATTTTGCTTACAACATGTTTTTTACAGTGCAGAAATTTACAGTTTGGTCAAATTTATACATCCTTCCCTTCATTGTTCCTTCCTTTGCCTTTATGCTTATTGGAAGCTAAATAAGATCTTTCTAAGATCTTACCCCAGTGCAGGTGAGATTTCACCTCCCTGTGGTATGACTCATTACCAAAAATATTTCAGAATATTCATAGCGACGCTAAGCAGTAGTGGGGACAGTGAGCATCGTGTGTGAGTCCTGTCATTTTAGTGCATGTGCTGCTCTAATTCTCTGTAGCCCCAACATTTTTAAGTCGTCTCAGCACTGTTTCTTGTTCCCTGTTGGAAATCCCTCCTCCCCTTGAATCTGTGGCTTCTGTTCTGTTACTTAAGGAGACCAGCATCTGAGTTTGTTAGGTGGGTCTGTAAAGTTTGGGTTTGAGGCTCAGAGAGAGCAGGCCAGGCGCTCTCTCGTCAGTGAGGCACAGACTCCCTGAGCCCCACGTGGACCTCTCTGGGCTCTCAGTGGTCTCTGCTAAGAGTCTATCGACCGTTAGTCTTTGCGGCATCCTGGTCAGGTGAGTCGGTTCTGCACACGCTCTAAGCATGCTGCTGCTGTGAGGAGAGCAGTGACGTGTGAAGGCGATTCGCTCTGGCCCAGGATCTGGGTGTGAAACCCCGTCTCCTACTCAGGCATCCAGTGTCAATGGGACAGACGATGAAAAGGCTTCTCACGCGGGTCCTGCTGACGCACACCTGAAGTCTGAGAATGACAAGCTGAAGATGGCTCTGACGCAGAGGTAAGGGGTTTTGAGTCCAAGCTGGGTGTTTCCCTGCAGTCTTTCTGCCGGGCAGGGTTTCAGAAATTGGGAGAGGAGACTGAGTCCCACTGGGTCTGGCCTTGTTCCCTGGCCAGAGGGACGCCACCTGGCTTCAGGGCTGTCCTCTGGCCGAGCACATAAGCATCGGCTCGTGCGTTAGTGTGTGTGAGGGAGGGAGACGCTTGTGTTTTGTGTTTTCAACCCAAATTTACCCTTTATTCATACATGGCACGGCTGGGTCTTGGACATCCAAGGAAAATATTTAAAAAACCTGAGAAACTACTAAAAATAAAGTAAAATCCCACAAAATCAATAGCTTTTCTGTATACAAACATCATATAGCATATGTATTTGAAGAAGAGATTTCCTTTACAATATGTACTAGAACCGTAAAATGCATGAGAATAAACTTAAGAAATGTACAAACTCCATATGAAAAAAACTTTAAAGTGATTTTGAAGAACAAAAAAAAGTAATTTAACAAATCGAAAGATGTATTCTATTGGGAAGTGGTAGACATGATATATCAAAAAGTATCAATTTCCCTAAACCGATCCATAACTTGAACACAGTCCCCACAATACCAGTGGGATTTTAATTTTAATGCCTCTGCAGGCTGTGCTTGCATTTTTATGTCATGAGAATGTGGCCCATTTCCCAGCAGCTGTGCTGGGCTTCACGGCATACGCTGGCCCCGTGAGCACGCTCAGAGCTGTTGTCTTCTGGAGTCATTCTCAGCTGGTGGGGGTGCAGACAGCTCCCCCAAGACCCCTGACACAGAGAAGCTGCTCTCCTAGAGTTGCCTCATGGAAGAGCTTGGTCATGTTATTTCCATTTTACAGATGAGGAAACTGAGCCCCAGGTGGTAGAGTGAATCCTACCTAAGGCCAACCGGCTAGTAAATTTTCCACCATCCCATTCCACCTCCTTCTCACACAAAGCTGCAGTTGTGCCCACTCTTCAGGCACCTTCCCAGAAGTGGCCAGGCACATGCCACAGCCGGAGCCTCCTAAGGGTCAGCACCCACCTCCCCAGCTCGGCAGGCCGGCCGGTGCCGGGAGCGTATTGATTCCTGTTACTGATCTGGGGATTCTAGAAAGAACAGTCATCCGCCCAACCACCTGCTTCGGACAGTGGGTTGTCAGGTCCTTTAAGGGGCAAAACCATGACCTGTTCTTCCTGCTCAGGTGATTGTGGGGGTTGTTTTTGGTTAAATCACAGGGGGCTACCTGTATAAAGATCAGTTTCATCCCTAAAGATAAATATTCTTGAATCCCTACTTAATGAGCAAGGAGTGGGTGTGAAGCCACAGCCCTAAGTCAGCTTACATCCCCACTTATCCACCCAGATTGCCAGCGAACACGTTACTGCTTTTCCAGGCCGCACTGTTTGAAAGTTTCTATTTTCCAATAGCATTCCTAGATCCTCAAGGCCGTGGGATGGAAGACAATGCAGATTATCCAGATACCATTGTATTTACTTTAAAAAAAGAGAAAAAGAACGTGCAGCCTTGGGGACAGGACTGCCTGCAGCTGGGCTGCATGAGGGGAGGCTGGGCTTGCTGGTCTAGGCTCCGTCCTCGGGCCACAGGAGCCCACGGCCCACAGACCCAGGGAGGCAGATGGGTCCCCACAGCCCGTGCACCGAGGGCAGCCTGACCCCAGGATGTGTTTTAGAGCCTCATGGAGTGCACGGAGGCTCGGGAGGGGACTCGGGGTGTCCCCCACGCTCCAAGGGGATGCGGAGTTGTGGGCACCCTCCATGCCCTGGCCAGGCCCCCCAGTTCTGCCCCTGGGGGTTCCCAGTCCCTGTGTCCTCTGTCCCTGTGGCTTCGGCTCTCAGATCTGAACTTGAGAGGCTCCGTGGAGGCACACGTACCCATGGGGCCAGGCTGCCTGTCAGACCCGGGCCCTCGGTCTGCTGGAGGCTATGGGGGGGGACCGTGTCTTCTGCTAAGTGCTTCCCTGAGGAGGCAGCCAGCAAGGTGCCAGGTTAGCACCGGCCCCTCCAGGCACTTGGTCCTCGCAGCACCTGGCGTGGTGGAGGGTGCGCGGCGGGGCAGCTGATGGCCGTGGCCACCTGGGTCACCCCCGGCGCGTGCCCCCAGCGCTGCCAATGTGAAGAAGTGGGAGATTGAGCTGCAGACCCTGCGGGAGAGCAATGCCCGGCTGAGCACGGCGCTGCAGGAGTCCGCAGCCAGCGCCGAGCAGTGGAAGCGGCAGTTCTCCGTGTGCCGGGACGAGAACGACCAGCTGCGCAGCAAGGTGGGCGGGGGCGGGGGGCACCCATCCCGGGAGGAGCAGGGTATGGGCCTCACTGACTCATGGCCGGGGGGAAGCCGAGCCCCGGCAGCCCCACTGCAAACCAGGAGAGGGAAACGGGGCCCATCACTGCTGCCCCTGCCAAAGAGCGCCCACTGATGCCACTTGCGGGCTGGCCTTGGCTGGTGGGTGGCCCCCCTGTGGTGGGCTGGTGGTGTTTGCTGGAGAAAAGGGACCCACAGGGTGAGCGGGGAGCCTGTGCTCAGAAACCTGCTTCCGCACAAGCCACCATTTCTGAAAATGTGGATTCGGATGTGAGGTGAGGGACGTGGCCCTGGAGGCAGGAGGCAGGGTGCTGACCTCCACCCCGTGCCCGTGCCCACCTCGCCTTCCTGGCCACCGAGCTCTGATGCCCACAGTGCTTGCTGGCACCTCCCCTGGTATGTCACTCGCACTTGGGGGTGGAGATGATGTGATAGTTTGGGGGTGGCCGGGAAATCCCCAGCAGAGGTCCGGGGGTCACTGTGCTGACCATGCTTTGATGGTTGGTGAGCAAAGGCTGCTTTTTCAGCTCAGGATTTCGGGGGGACACGTGACACTGAATTGGTGTCACTCTCCCTTGCCCCCCATTTATAACCTTCCCACCCAACCTGAATGGAGCCACAGGGGGCGGCTCCCCGGTCTTATGAGCTTGCTTGGGTACAGATGGCCCATAAAACCGCCCCATGTCCTTGTTCATTTTGGCACCGAAAGTGTTGACAGTGAGCAGCGCCTGGCAGCTGCTGGCCCCACATAGGCCCTATGAGGCCTGGCTGACTGGCCTGCTGAGGGCCCTTTGCCCTTTCTTTCTCTTTGCAAGCAAAGGGCCAAGTTTCTTGCTCAGCGTCTGGGTGGAAGGGCCAAAGGGCAGTGCAGGGAGGGGTAGAGGAAGCTCGCCACCCAGAACTCGCTCCCGAGGGGAGGCTCAGCTGCCCTGGGCGGGAAGCACTGGGACTCAGCGGGAGGGGGACGTTGGTGGACGCCCCAGCAGCTGCCATGGCTGGCGCTTCCAGTCCCTGGGGCTGGGGCAGGCTGCCTCTGAGGAGTGTCCTCATGTCCACCACCAGTGTCCCTCGCGTCAAGGGCTGCAGAAGCCTGCTTGTGGGGGCCCCATCACATGGACTACTGTGTCACTCGGTGGTGGCACACCTCCCGCCCGCTCTGGCCCCCGGGAGGTGCTCAGCACCAGGCAGCTATGCCAGGATTGTCAGGTCTGCTGATCCCTTCTGAGGTGCAGGCTCAGGGAGGAGAGGGAGAGGTGGTCCGGGCATTTGCCGGTTCAGGGTGAGCCTCTGATCCCTCCAGGAGGAGGCCCACAGGCCAGGCCCCTTCCGCACGCATCTGTAAGGAAAGGTCATCTTGATTTAAAACGTTTGAAATGTCATCGCGTCCCCTTTGGTACTACTGTCCCACTGAGTTGCTGCCTTGCTGGCTTAAATCCTTGAGATGAAACAGAATAATTCAGGACATGATTAAAATGATGTGAAAATCATTCTGAGGAGAAGCAGGTCAACTCGCAGGCCATCTGGTCCTGCTTGTGATGGGTCCTGAAAGTCAGCCTAAAGTGACCGTCTCACGGCCATGAGAGAAAAGCAGCAGCTCAGGGCGTCCTGCAGCCCTGTTGTGAGACTCACGGCATCTTGCGCAGGCAGGGCCAACAGCCTTGCGGGGCAGCCACGTGGAATTTGTTCATAGCGACAGGGAAAGTAGGTTTGTTTATGGTTTATTTTAAAAGAAAGCATAAGCAGAGCGGCGGTGGTCTTTTGTTGACTGCCTGAAGTAAGCGAGCGTCCCTGCTTTCACGTGTGACATTTATTAAAGATCGATGAGCTAGAAGAACAGTGCAGCGAGATCAGCAGAGAGAAGGAGAAGAACACGCAGCTGAAGAGGAGGATTGAGGAGCTGGAGTCGGAGCTCCGGGAGAAGGAGGTGGTGAGTGGCCAGCAGTGCTCCAGGGGTCCTCCCCTCCGCATGCTTGCCTGGGCCCTGGGGGGTGATCGCCGCCCGGGGACGCGCAGCAGGGGGCCGAGGGGCGCGTGACTGGCCACAGCAGCCGCCTGGACATGAGCACGGAGGCAGAGCCAGCAGGACCCCAGGGCACCCGTTCTCCGGAGCAGAGGCCTCGCCGTGGCCTCCGCAGGCTCCCCTTGGACTCATTAAGCAGTCAGTCACTCAGGTGCACGAGGGGGCGAACATGTTACAAAACACTCGGAAACTTTTATACATCGATCATCAGAGGTTGATTTCTGCCATCAAATTAATGCAGTGAGAACCACCAGTCACATAGTCATTTAGTTCTTGGAGGCAGGACTGCGAAGTACCCAGGCCCTGGAGACCACAGGCAAGCTGCCAAGCCTCTCAGCCTCAGTGTCCCCATCTACACAACAGGAATCATAAGACCTTTTATGTTGGCGTATGGACTTGATGTGATAATACACGGAACACACTCAGCCCTTAGAATTGCCTGATGTGTGTCAAGTCTTAGATCCTCGCCTCATTATTTTGGCAGGTACCGGCTCCAAGAGCCGCTTCCGTCGGCGTGCACCCAAGGTGGGGATTTTCAGGAATACATTTTAGCTGACTTGCTTTCACATTTTTTTTTTTAACGTCTGTCTCCTGTAGGAGTTGAAAGATCTCCAAAAGCAAAGTGAAATCATACCTCAGCTCATGTCAGAGTGTGAATACGTCTCCGAGAAGTTAGAGGTAAGGTGGGAGCACACATCCATCTTGGCTTGGATGAGAAGGCGTTTGTCCTCTGAGCCCCAAGTCCTCTCCTTTCGCAGCTTGCATGGTAAAGAGAGTGGCTTTCTGTTCAGGGAAAGCCAGCAGTGACTCCATGCCAGGTGCCCTCTTTCCCCCAAGCCCCAGGCGCAGTCAGCACTGTCTTTTGGTTTTTCCATTTCTCCGAAGGCGTCCTGTGCATATCCATAGAGCAGGTGACATTTCAGGTCTCTACAGAATGACAGAGGCAGTGAGGGGCAGGGGACAGAATGCAGGGCTGAGAGCAGCTGCCGCAGTGCTATCCCACCTCGCCATGGCCCCAACCAATGACCTTGGATGTGACCTTGGGCAGGCCCAGGCCCCCTTGCTGGGCTCAGATTTCAGAAGGGGGGTGGTTTTCACATCCTCTTCCACCTCTCAGGCTCTGCTGTATTCAGGTACAGAACCCAGAGATCAGTTCTGGTTCCGAAAGTCTCATTTTCACCCATAAAATGGCAGCTCCTCCTCGGTGTTGAGGCCTCACTTGGGGACACGCACAGCGGACCTGCCTGCAGGAGCCTGAATGTCTCCATAGTAACACTGGCAGACGCCTTGCAGGACGCGCTGTCCCTGAGTCTGCGGCCGCCTTCCTGCTGAGAGGCTGGCCTGGGGGCCTGAGCAGGGGGGGGGACGGCCACTCTGCCGACGGTCCCGCTTCTGTCTCAGGAAGGCTGACACCCTGGGACTGGGGCTAAAGGCCCCTCCTGCTAGGATGTCGAAGTTTATCTCTGGGCCCTTGGTGGAAGGACCCCCCTTCTGTGTAGGGACATCATTTTTCAGGCCAGATGGTCGCGCACACTGGCCGCCGGCACCTCTGGGGACAGGCGGGAAGGAGGGCGCGCCGAAATGCCCTATACCTGCGTGCAGATACCAGCGCGCACAGGCCTGGTGCTGGGGGCCTTGCCGCGTCTCGGGACGCAGCGCACAGGAGCGGGGACAGTGTGGTCACCGCGGGGCAGGGGGACCACGTGGCCGTGGCTGTGGCTGCGCTCTGCTCCCTTCGCTGCCCTCCGGACCCCCTCGCTTTGTTCTGCTCCAGGCGGCCGAGAGGGACAATCAGGACCTGGAAGACAAAGTGCGCTCCCTGAAGACCGACGTGGAGGAGAGCAGGTGCCGCGAGCGCCACCTCAAGGCGGAGCTGAGGAGCTTCCTGGAGGTGCTGGACGGGAAGCTGGACGACCTCCATGACTTCCGCAGGGGCCTCTCCAAGCTGGGCGCCGACAACTAGGGCGGCCAGGCCGCGAGGCCCCGCGAGCGGCGGCACGGGGCGAGCAGGTGCGGGCGCGGTGTGCGTGACTCCAGCCAGTTGTGCCGCCCGCCCTCCTCTCCAGACAGGACGGCTCCTCTCCCGGCCCCGCGGGGTCCTGGACAACTGCAGGCCCGACTCAGGAATCCAGCTTCAGGTCTACCTTAACCGTTTACGCAGCCAGGGCAGGGGCGCCGTATCTCTCTTAAGGGCTGCTGCAACCATGTGAACTAAAACAAGTATTTTCTGATCCAAATGAGAACCCTCTGCGCCACCTCCTTGTGGACAGCGTCCAGCGCATTTGAATGTCCACCAGGCTGCAGGGCGTGGGGCGCGAGGTGAGCAGCCAGTTCGTGGAGACTCACCCCGAGAAAGCAGTTCCTGGTGGGTGCGTGCCCTCTGACCCTTCCACCCCCCATTCCCAGGGCTGCACCCCAGTCCCCTTTCCCGGTTGTCATCCCACAGAGGTGGCAGTGCTGTGGGAACAGCACGTGCTGAGGGTACCTAGCACAGTGCCTGGCACAAAGTAGGTGCTTAATAAATATTTGTTCAATTAAACATATAAACAGAATTTAGTGTTTTAATCGAACCTCCCTGCAGAGTCCATCAGACCCCTGTTGTTTCAACCTGTGGTTAAACAATCCACTGTCTTGTGCGCTGGGTAATTATCAGACATGAACGTGATTGATTGTGCCGTCAGATTCACTGGTAACTGCGGTCAGATTCGCGGATGAAAGTGCAGCCAGATTTATGGGTGGGCCCGGTGGGCGGTGGGGGCCGATGGAGGCAGCTGGAGCCCCTCCCTGGTGCTCTGCCCCTGGGGGCTCTGGCGCTGGGACCACCCTTCTCCAAGCATGGGGTCCTGTGGCCTGGGGGCTCCAGGACTGCTGCCTGTCCCTGGTGAAGGGGCCTGGGGTCTTGGGTGGGATCTCATGTTCAGCTGGACAGCTGAGACAGAAACCTCAGGCCCCTGAGGGAGAGTCGGCGGACACTGGCCAAGCCCGGCCATGGTGACGCAGGAGGTCGGCTCCACCTGCCTCCGGTCAGCTTCTGCTAAGCAGGGACGGAGCTGCCGGCCTCTCCTCTCTTCCTCAGTTCTCTGTGGGGCCAGTGGCATCGGGTGCCCCGCATGTGGCAAGATGGCTTGAATCCGCTGCTGTAGGCATTTCTAAATGCCTTCGGGGAAGAAGGAGGCTCGGTGCCCTCTGACCCACTTTGAGAACGACTCTAAGACCTTCCCCCTACAGAAAGATTTCCCGCGTGCTAAGGATCTCCCTGTTGGATTTGGCTGAACAATGAGCAGCCTGAGGAGCAGGTGGGACACGCGACGTGACCCCGGCCAGTGGCTTCCGGGTTCACGAGTCGGTGGTCTCCTCCCTCCAGCGGGACCGCCTCTCTGGGCATGGGGAAGGAGTGAAGCTGGCGATCTGGGGCGCCAAGGCCCTGGAGGGACCTTCAGACTGCGGGGGCAGGTTCCGTTGATCATACTGGGCGTGGGGCTGCCCAGGAAAAGGGACGCGTCAGCCGTCTTGGGGACCTGGGACAGGGCACTGCAGGCCGTGCCTTTTCCAAGCTCCTGCTGGCCAGAGACCAGAGCTGGGCTGGCCAGGCGTTGGCCTTGGGGCCCAGCAGTGGGCTGAGGGACTTTTCTCGGGCCAGGTCAGCCTGCCTGTTGGCACACCGGGTGGGGGGCTGCTCAGGAGCAGTGACTCCGGGATTCCAAAGCCTCCACATGGGTCTTCTGATGCCCGCCGCCCTATAAGTGGTTTGTTAATCCAGAAGGAACCAACTTGACTGATGGGCGTGTGCTCAGGTGACATAGTCCCAGGTGGATGGTGTTGCTAAGGCCACTTGCACATTCTGCCCAATGACCATAAAGAGCACTGGAAGCAGTAGGGCCCTTAGCTGGGGGAAGGGGGCTGCTGGGTCCCTCTGCTATGGGGCCCCGTGAGTTTGGTGAGCATGAGTTGGTAACAGTGAGAACACGATCCCCAAACTGTCAGCCTCCCACAGCCCAGCAGCTGCGAGCCACAGGGGCCCCTCTAGCGTAAGCCCGCAGAGCCGAGAAACCACGGCACGAGAGGGCTGGGCTTTCAGCTCCTTCTGCTCTTCTCTGAAGACCTTAATGTTTCTTCATTTACTTTCTTTAAAACAAAATGGCCCAGAGACAACCTGGACAGTCGCTTGAGAGACTGGCCCTCTCGGGTAGCCTCTGGTCCCATCAGGGGGGACTCGACCTGTGAAATGACCTGGTGGATTCATGCCATTTTCCAGAGTTTAGCATGCTTTTGTTTGCAAGCAATGTCTCCTGGGTTTGACATCCCCAAGACTGGTGGCATGGGCCGCTAGCTTTATTCTGCATCCGTGGAACCTGCGGCCTGGAAGAGGCAACGGAAAAATTGGGATCCTTTATCCATAATGATCCTTAAAACTAATTTGCATTCCAAGTACAGACCCAACTGGGTGTATTGCAGGCTTAAGGGAAGCAAGGGGAGAACTCCTCCTGGGCCCAGGAATGGAAGCCGCCCCTGTGACAGGTTGGGACCGTGTGGCCTGGCCTTGGAAGGAGGGAGAACCTGGAACTTGCGGGTACAGCAGTTTTGCACGCCCTGGCATGCTGCCCCTTGAGACCTCAGCTGGGCAGAGACCATCCCCTGTTCTGCAGACAGGAAGCAGAGACAGGAAGGGACACAGCCAGTGGGCCGCTGTGGGGCCCCACAGCCTGGCCCCCTGGGCAACAGTCCAGTGTCGTCCCGAGCTGAGCCACTGGTCTCCCTTTAGAGACCTCTGGGTGCCAAGAAAAATGATTTCTCTTATATCCTGATAAGAGCACATTGCAATTAGATTATTTTAACATATGTCCATAGCAAATGACTATTTATAGAAGAGCGAGTCGGAATTACATTTGCATTCATTACGAGCAGGGAGCTCGTTTCCCAGCGTCTGGTTTGGCGGCAGTCTTTCCGAGAGTGTTGTCAGGAGGGAGCCTGTGTTCTGAGAGGCGGATTCACGAAGCGCCAACGTTTTGAGTTCCTTGTTGGTGGCCTCGGTGGAGGCAGCGCAGTCTGTGCGAAAGAGGCGGGAGGCCGAGGCCGTGAGGTGGCAGAGCTCAGCACGGGGAGGGAGCGGGTCAGCGCGGTGGCCAGGGCAGGCTGAGGGGGACCTGGCCGTCCCCCGGAGGACCGGCCGTGTGGGCAGTTCCAACCTACAGACCCCTCGCGGACGTCTCTAGACCCAGGCAGCCCACGAGCACAGCCTGTAGGATGGCGGTCAGCTGGCGCCTGGCTGCTCCCAACAACATTTGATGTGAAACATCAAGTAAAGGGTGGAATGGAATACAGTTCACGTACCGCCCAGAAGCAACACGAGCTGCCCATTTTAACAGGGCCCCTTTTTCTATAGAAAGCCAACCACAGGGCATGCCAGGGACCTTATTGTGTGGCCTCCTGGGTGGCCAGCTGCACCCTCAGAAGGTGGACAGCCGTGTCGTGACTTAGCACGGGCACTCGGAAAGGGGCTGCCCTTTAAAGCAGAGCCAGCCACTGGTCTGCTCATCACCGAAAGCAGGTCGTTTGTGCCATTCGTCCTCCTAAAAGTTATGACTCTTAAATCATTTGATGCGTCACTGGATTTTGGAGCACCGACAATTTAAACTAGAAGCTTGCGAATCAATGTCCGTATATGTTTTTAGATGATGTGCATGGTTTAAAAGGATCCTAATTTCCGAGTACATGGTTTCCCCAAAAGAAATATATATTCTGGGGATGGCGGAGAGTCCTGTATAGAAGTGTGTCTTTTCCATACACCGATCTCAAGAATCCAGGTTTTCTTAGTCCTCTTTCAACACCAGCCAGGCCAGAAAGTAACTTTGGTATGAATTTGGCAGCTAGATGAAACGGTCTGGTGAATTTAGGGGCATGCGTGTCTGTGCACTGGAGGAGCAAGTGCCAAGGGGAAGAGGGAGAGACAGCAAAGAAGGGTTTTCTTTACAGAATATGTGTACCTGAGGGGAGTCTTTGATAATCCTGCATGTTTCTGGAATCCATTCATGAGAAGCGTCTGTGGGCCTTTGTCTCAGGTGGAACTGCGCGGTGCCCGGCTCTCTCTGACAGTGTGGAGCCTTGTACACAGTGGGCCCCCGGGCCACACGGACCACCCATGGACCTGGCAGGTGCCTGGAGAAACCAGGGTGGAGTCCAGACTGGGGGACATTTTCACAGATAATTAATAGTCCTGATGAGATGCAGCTGTGGGGAATGTGTGGCTGTTTCACCCTATTGTACCACTTTTAATATAAAGTCTTGACTTTAAATAAATGGTTGTAGCAATGTCTTAATGATATGACAGGCAATTTAGACATCTCTTGCATCAAACGTTAGAATTAAATGATTAGTATCGAGCAGATAAGTAGACTCTCCCAAGAGAACTGTTTTTTCCCCCTTTTTAAATTCCTTTTTGGTACATATATAATGTATACTTCCTTTTTTTTTAAAGAAACTACAGATGAGTGAAAAAAATCACCTGATACGATACCATCTGATTATAACCACTCTTAACATTTTGGTATATATCTGTTGAGACTTTTTTCTACATATCTATATTTTTTATTACTTTTTCCATAAAATACAGTCATACATATGGTTTTATACCTTGCTTTTTTCTCCTTTAACACTATATTGTGATATATTTCCAAATCAGTAAATATGTAGTTGTATCATTTCTAACATCCATGTAGGTCATACCTCAGATACTTAAGTCATTTCTGACATTTTACCAATGTAGTTAAGGGTATGATGAAATCCTTCCTCCTGGTAACATCTTTGTGAACATTTCAGAATATTTAATTAGAGTAATTTTCTGAACTTGGCCGTGCTGGCTCAGAAGTGTGAGCGCAGTGGGCGCAGTACATGGGTGTTTTCCCCGCTCCCCCCCGGGCACCCAGGAGATTCCACCTTCCAGCTCCCACCTCGGCTCTCAGGGTCCCCGTGCCTAAATCGGGCTTGTGAAGTCTGAGCAGAATTTTTCCTCTGTTAAGACGGATAGTTGTTTTATGTTTTTTTGTTTTTGTTTTTTTCTGTTGTCTTTGTCAGGTATTGGTGTCAGGTTTATGTTAACTTCTTTAAAAAAAAAGAACTTGGGAAGCTCTCTCACTTTTTCTATGCCCTGGAACAAATAAATATTTGGAATTTTTTTGCTCTTGGATGTTTTTATCATATGTATAAGACTGTCCAAGTCTAGTGCCTTTTAGGAAACCATTTTTGACAGTTTTTCAATGTTTCCATGCTCATTGGTCTCTTTAGACTTTCTTCCTACCCTGTACGTTTTGGGCAACTTAAATTTCCTAAATAAAGATTCTGTTAAGATTTTCAGATTTCCTAGCAAGTGTTTGTAGTCTCCTTCCACATCCATAACATTGTGGAAGGCTGTGTTTTGCCTTTTGCTCTGGTTAGCTTCTCCAGAATTAGTCGATTTTATTGGTCTTTTCAAAGAGCCACTTCTGGGACTTATATCTTAACTTACTGTTTTACCATTTCATGATTTTTTTCTTTTTGTTGTTATCCATTGC